CTTGGGGAGAGGAAGAAGAGAGGACGTGGCAGAGGGGAGACAGGCACAGGAGAACGAGAATGTCAGGTGATACTAAGAGGCTGAGCTTGTTGCCAGGGGGCTGCAAGCTGGGCATGCTCAGAAGCTGCAGGAGCAGGGAGGCCCGCTCCTGGATCCTGGATCCTGGGGTAGGAGGAGGAGGGGGCAGCCTCCAGAGCAGAGACAGATGTGTGACGACAGCCCTAGGAAATGAACGGTGCCTAAAGGTCTCCCAGCTGCAGTGCTGGTGGTCGCGTAGGTTTCACCCTGGGCCGCTGACGGCAAGGTCGGCAGTTCAAAACCACTAGATGGTCCGAAGGAGTTAAGACGAGGTTTTCTACTCTCACAGAGAGTTCGTCTGGCAAACCCGCCAGGGCAGTGCTGCCCTGTCCTAGGGTGGGTGGCTACGCACTGGAATGCACTCGATGGCGGTGAGTTTGGTTTTAGAACTATCGCTCATTTGACGGCCCTCCTGCTTCGCTCAGCGTTTCCCCGGGACCCGTTTGCTCCCAGGGCTGCAACTTCCTGAAGCTAGATGTTTCTATTTTTTTAATTTCTTCGTTGTGAAAACACAGATGAGACATTTTGGGGTGGCAGCAGATTAAGTCTCGGGGCAGGGCCTTGCCTTGCAGTTGAAGGTGGATGGAGCCTCCTGGTCTGGGTCTGGCCGCCTTCTCTGACTGCTCAGCCACTGTGCCCTCTGGGCTGAGGAAGGAGTGGGCCCGCCCAAGGGTGGGGGCTGCCAGGCCCCTCCTCTGTGGTGTTCTTGGGGGATCTGAACTGCCAAACTTTAGGCTTGTTGTGGAGCACCCACAGTGAGGGCCTCCCTAGAACCCTGAAGTGCCAGGTGAGTGTTCAACAGAGGGTATTGTCTACCATCTGGGCCAGGTGCTGGGGCCCACTGCTGACCCTGCAGGGCCAGACTGGCCACTACGAGATGGCTGGTCAGAGGGCATCCAGAGGCTTTGGGATTAATAGATCATGGACAGGGAACCCAGCCCCCCCGAGAGGGTGAGCCTCCTGGCCTCCCACCCGTCTCCCGGGCCTCCCTCCTTCCCCCAAGGGAGAGCGAGGTGGGACAGAGGGTCATTGATCATGAGCCTGGCAGCAGCCTTGTCCTGGTCTGGGGGTCCCATGGGGGGACTGCCCTCCATATCCCGAGGAGAGTGGAAGTCGGTGGGGCTGTCCCGAGTAGGGAGCCACCCTTTCCAGCATGACCCCTTTCCGGTGTCCCCAAACCTTGCTGGCCCTTAGGATCTCTGCTCGTTAACTCATTAGGAAGAGAGAACCCCTAAAAACCATTAGGTGAGAATCCCAAGCTAGTCGGCAGGAGGCCTGGGCTGGCTTCCAGATCTGTGTCAATCTCCTGGTGACCTTGAACTGGTCTCTGACCTGTTTCTACTTCTGTTCACAGGGCAGGCTCTGAGGCTGAGGATACTGTCATGCAGCCCTGTATCAAGCTGGGTCACGCTGGCCATGTCAGGGATGAGGTGGCACAGTCCAGGGTGGGCAGTGTGGGAACGGGCTGGGTCAGTGCCTGGGCCAGCCTCTGTGGGTCAGCGTGGGCTTGACTGGAAGAACAGCACAGCACCACCTGCTCTGAAGGAGGGGCAGGCAGGTCCGGCTGGCTTCATGGTGGACGCTGACCCCAAGTCCTGGAGTCTCTCCCAGGCCCCACAACGAGAACCAGGCTGGGATGGGGTCTCAGGGAGGGGCAGGGGAGGGGCATGGGAACACCCCTCGGCAAAGCCGTCGATGGTCCTGCTGGTCAGCACCACATGGACCCTTGGCCTAGCCCTCAGGGTAGGGGGGGTTGGGCCATGGTTAGAAGATACGAACTGTCTAGCATGCTCTGATTCACAACAACCCTGTAAGACAGGGCAGAACTGCTTCTAGTTCCCAAGGCTTTATTGAAGCGGTCAGCCACCTTCTCCTTCATCGGGGTGGCTGGGGGGTTTGAACCAACTCTCTTTAGGTTAGCACTGAACTAGGGCCTGCACCTGCTGGGCTGGCCTGGAGCCAAGCCCACCCCTAGTGGTCCTTGCCCAGAAGACATGGGCAGCTTCCACACCCGACTCCTCCCCTGGGGAGGAGAAACGAGCAAATAAGCCCAAGGAACATCCTGGGTAATACACTGGGCTGCTAAGGGCAAAGTCGGCGATTTGAACCCATCAACGGAATGTTCCACGGGAGAAAGATGGACAGAGCTGTCTATCCCATCCATAGAGGTTTACAGCTTCAGAAGCCTACAGGGGCAGTTCTGCCCTGTCCTAGAGGGTCTCCGTGAGTCGACAACACCATGGCACTGGTTTTTCTGTTTCGAGGGGGTAATGGTGCTCCAACACCGCCCCCTCGCCCATCTCCATGCCAGCAGGACCAACAGGCCGCCACCCTTGTGCTCAGGGGGCTTCCAGTGCTTACGGAAATGTGGGCCCCTGTGCACCCCGCTGCCCCAAGGCCCACTGACCCAGCATGGACACGTAACAAGAACCCCAGGGCAGTCGTGGGGGGGTAAATGGAGAGCAGGAGTCAAACCTGGCACTCAGCCCCTGGCTGGTCTCAACTCCTGCTGCCGTCACCAACACGCCTTGAGCCCCAGGGGCGGGGCCAGCTCTGTTTTCCTCTCCAGCCTATTTGTCCGGGGAGCAGATCCCAACCTTTCTGGTTCCAGTGGTCTCTGTCCCCCCGCCCCGCCCCACCTCGCTGGGAAGAGAGGTCACTGGAGGCCAGCAGCGTGCGTCTACACCCAGTTTATACACAGCTCTATACAGTCTACAGAAACCTCTATGTACAGATATATTTATAGAATAAGCTATATTAATGTCTCTTCTTTTTTTACAGCAATATTAGTTTGGATCTTTCATACAGTAAGTACAAAAAGGCTCGGGAGGATGGCACATGGAGAGGGCAGAGGGCGGGGGCTGGGCCGGCTGCTCCCCTCCCAATTGCATATATGGAGGCCGTGGGGCCCCGGGAGGGAGGGCGGGCCAGCACGCAGCAGGGCACACTTGGGGGGAGGGGGGGGCGCCTGCCTGGGATCGGTTTGAGCCGAGCTGGGCTGGAGGGTGGCTCAGACCCCCCAAGTGTGGTGTGGGGAGGAAGGGGGAGGCGTGCAGCAGGTCTCCCTGCGGGGGCTGGGTAAGGTGGGGTGCGGGTGGGGGCCGGCCCTGGGATGCCCAGGTCTGAGGCCAAGCCTGCCCCAGCCCCAAGCCTGGACTGCTGTGTGGCTGCAGCCTTGGGGGTGGGGGGGTCGGTCCCTGATGGCTCAGTCCTGAACATGGGTGGTCTTCACACCCACCCGAGAGGCCCCAGGAGCCACCCTGGTAGAGGACAAATTAAAAAGCCAGACCCCTAAGTATCCTGGCCGGGGTACATGTTGGAACTTGGTTGGGATTAAAGTTTTGCCCGATTGGCTCAGTTCTACAAGCCATTGGCTTCCTCTTGCTTGTGGGCTGGGCTGAGCCAGTGCCTACAGTGGGCCCTCAGCGGGGTCTGGTCAGGGAGGGGGCGGGGGTGGGGCACAGAGTGGGAGGCCCAGCTCCCAGGAAGGACTCTGTCCCCATTTCTCAAGGTGGGAGGCCTGGTCCTAGCTGTCCTTGCGGTGGCCCATGAGATGACCATGAGATCAAAGGGGGGGGTGGTTTGGGGAGGGTTGCTGGGAATGGGAGAAGGGGGGAGGCCATGGCTCAGAGAAGAGGTGGGCCCAGCATGTGCTCCTCGCCTCTGCACACAAGCCAGATCTCAGAGCAGCAGGCACCCCGGGGACAGGAAGCCTGTCCCCTTCCCAGGGCCCTGTTGCCCAAGCTCCTGCTCTGTCTCCGTGCCGGCGGGGTGGGGCAGCCCTTCTGCAGGATGGTGCACATGTGCACATGCCCCTGGCCCCCTGCTCCTGCAGAAAGGTCGGGGCTCTGATTCCCCAAACCCTGCAGGGAAGAGACCCCTCATGTGAGGGCGATGCAGGCACAGTCGCTGATACCCCCTGCCCCCTGTCCCACTCCTCCCTGGCAGAAGGTCTCCACACCACACCTCACTCCTGGTCCTGTTCCCTGACCATGAGAGGGTATGACCGGGGGAGCTCAGGAGCTCAGGCCTGCTAGGGGGCCGAGGGATGGGCAGCCAGATTGTCTGGGCTTGGGGGGTGACGTTGGGTGGGTGGGGGTGCTCCTCCCAGGGCCCTGACAATGCAGCTAGGGGTGGGCACAGTGCCCTTGCATGTCAGGTACCTAGCTCCCTGGGGCGTAGGAGGCTGGCCAGGGAGCAGCAGGCAGGCTGGGCGCCCAGGACCCATCCACAGAGGGGCAGCAGGAGGGGTGCCCACAGAGGGGACAGTCCCAAGCCCACCCTCCTCCGGGTCCCTCCAGGCCCCAGGTCTGCCCCAGGGCCCTGTGCAGTGGCCCTGCCCCATGCACAGGGGGTACTGAACACATGATTTGGTGGAGGGGAGTGGGTGGAGGGTGGAGGGCTTCGAGCCCAGGACATGTCCTGAGCCCTGCCCAGCAGCTTCTGTAAACACGCCACTGTGGGCCTCCACAGGGGGGCCACCCCTGGGGCTGGCCAGCAGACTTCAGATCTGAAAGGAGGGGGGGGCAGCCAGGTAAGAGTATGGGGCAAAGGCTGCTCCCCTCCCTCCTACCTGGGTCCTCGGAGGGCAGCCAGAGGGCCGTGTGGTGCATCGGCTTGGCCCCTGCCCGTCTTGGAATCCGGGTGCCCCGGGAGCCCCGTGGGGGGGGCGGGCGGTCAGGCTGAGAGAACCCACCCTGGCAGCTGTGCCAAGCTCCACTTGCTTGTCCCCCCTTTCCCCTGACCCCCATCGGAGGACTGGGTGCCTCCCCACACCTTGGCTCTGGGGGTCCTAGGTTGAGGTAGGGATGCAGACCTCCCAGTGCTGGGGCAAAACTACCCCCACCGTGGGGGTGGGGGGCACCCGTGGGACCCCTTCCCCCGTTCCGGCCTGGGCCTTGGGTGGCAGCAGCTGCTGGGCGCTAGTGGGCCGAGATGGCCAGGTCTTCCTGCTTGGCTGGGCTGGCTCCACGGCTGGTGGGGGTGGCAGTCCGGGTCTTGTCTGGCGCCAGGCACTCCTGGCTGCTGAGGGGGCCGGTGGGTGTCAGGTCCGTGAGCTCCCCGGAAGAGCTGAGCGGGAA